TGTGACTGACAGGTGTGGGGACAGTGTGACTGACAGGTGTGGGGACATTCTCTTAGTCCCCGTTTCCCTCTACCTATGAATAAATGGATCTTAGCTTTTAAAAATATTTTAAGGTGATATTGGTTAGACTGTTCATGGGGACATAGGCCAGTCCTGCCCTTGAAGGGTTTAGGGAACAGTATGCAAGTTTCTAAAGAAATTTAAAATACACCAACTGTGTATGGTGGTACACAACTGTGACCCCAGAACTCAGGAGGCAAAGGCAGAAGGATTGGTACGTTCAAGTATGGCTTCAGCCACATGGTGAATTCTAGGCCAGCCTGCACTGTAGCAGACCCAGAATGAATGAATGAATGAATGAATGAATGAATGAATGAATGAATGAATGAGAGAGGAAAGAAAGGGAGGAAGGAGGTGGAAAAGAAGGGGGGAAATTAACCACAGTTGGGCATGGTGGTGTACACTTGTAATTCTAGCACTCCGGAAACCGAGGCAGGTGGGCAGGTGGGTAGTCATGAGTTCAAAGCCAAGCAGGTCTACATTTCAAGTTCCAGGACTGCAGAGTGGAACTGTCTTCAAGTATAAAACAGTGGCCAAAACCAATTTAGGGCCTGGGATCAGGGATGGGGTGAAAGGGTGTCATAGCAGGTAAGGGGGGTACCCTCAGTCCACCTTCTTTCAAGCACCAAGCAAACATATGTTCTGATGACAGGTCAAAGGTCAAGCTCCATTTCTGGGAGCACAGAGGAGTAGGGTGGGAGTGGGGGTGAGGGCAGGGGAGTGCAGTGGGATTGGAGGTGGGGGTGGAGGGTGGGGGTGGGATATAGGTTGGGGGTGGGGAATGGGGTGTTGAGGCTTTAGAGAACAGTCCCTCACCTACCAGGTTCAGCCGGGTCTCCAGAATGTGGATCTGTTTCTGCAGCTTCCGGGGGTTGTTGGCCTCTTGTGTCTTCAAGAAGATCTGTCTCTGGTTCGTGATCTTTCTCTCCATCTGAACAATCTGGGAGGGAGAGATGAGGGGTGGGTGGGGAGCATCCAGCTGCTCTAGTTTCTGCTGGGCACAGATTAACCATTCCTACGGGGGGAAACCAGGTTAAAGCCAACGTGACATTGACACTCATCCCATAAACAGCTCTGACTGGGCTCCCGGATTCCTACTTAATCCCACCCCGTCCAGGGTAAAGAAAAAAGTTGGCTCTGAGTGTGAATTTTCCCACCAGTGAACAGAAAGTCCCCATCTCTCCAGGCCCCCACACCATGGTTTCTAGAGGAAAGGGCACTGGCTCCTGTGGTGGTGAAACTTAGTTGTCAACCCTGTTATCCTGAGAAGGGCCTAGAATGGGGTTAGAGAACACCTGCAGCTGCTGTCATGATGCTGTCATGACTTCCCAGTGCCCGTCTGGACATTCCCTACATGTCCAGTTTCTCTGTTTATGAATGGAACTGGGGGTCTTCCTGAAGTGGCCGGGTGTGGCATCATGGGAAGGTTATCCTTTGATATCTCTAAAACTTTCCCAGGAGTTGGGATCCCCACTTTGGAAATTAGGTCATCAGTACCTAAGAACAGCAAGATGATCTTTGAGTTGCAGACGCAAGCAGCCCACATTAGGCAGAAGCACCTGAAAAATGCCTTGACAGTCAGTTTTCCAGGTATGTGCAGTCTCTGACAGTCGGTCATACCAAGGGCCGCAAACTACAGCCCTTTGGCCCGTGGCTTATTGTTACAAATAAAGATTTATTGAAAAAGCAAAGCCAGGCCTTTCTGTACTGCCTGTGGTGCTATATGGTTGGAGCTTGGAAAACCCAAGTATGACTGTGGGTCTTTTACAAAAAGATTTCACGGGGCCATTTTAGACCCATTGGACCCGAGTGTTCATATATCAAAACGCATTTGAATTTAGTGTCATTTGCTACTTTACAGTCTTACTTGGGCACCGTATTAATTTAAAACAAGTAAATAAGGGACTGGAAACACAGTTCAGTGATAAAGGACAAGACTAGTATGCACAATGTCCTAAGTTCCATTCCCAGGGGACTCATGGGGACTTGAGTGTGGTTCCCAGCACCCACAATAATTGGATCGTCTCAACAATCTAGTTCCAGGGGACTCACTGCCCTCTTCTGGGCTATTTTCCCACACACATACTCACACACAGACACAGGCATTAACAATTAAAAATAAAATATTACAGTGAAACAAAAAGAGAGTAAAGGTGGCCAGGTATGATGGCACACACCTTTACTCCCAGCACTTGGGAGGAAGAGATAAGGAGATCTCTATGACGTCAAGGACAGCCTGGTCTACACAGTGAATTCTAGGCTAGCCAGGGCTACAGGTATATGCCTCGAAAATAAGTCAGTGCAGCCAGGCAGTGGTGGCACATGCCCTTAATCCCAGCACTTGGGAGGCAGAGGCAGGGGGATTTCTGAGTTCGAGGCCAGCCTGTTCTACATAGTAAGTTCCAGGACAGCCAGGGCTATACAGAGAAACCCTGTCTCGAAAAACCAAAAATAAAAAGAGAGAGAGAGAGAGAGAGAGAGAGAGAGAGAGAGAGAGAGAGAGAAAGTCAATGCAAATAAATTACAGAGTTACATACTTCCAACACAATAGCTCAGGGTAAGCCTCCCCTTTCCTAAGAGAAAGGGTTGGGACACAGTGAGACATGCCACAGGCAACGTCATCATCCAGGAGGGCTGCACCAATGACAGATGGTCTTGAAGGGCTATTTTGAACTGATGAATCATGCTCAGAATGGCCTGTCTATCCCGTGGTCCACATGAAGACCTCCCAGAAGGCTTTTCTCCTGCCTTAACACCTGGCGGTGTCCCAGAGAGATGCTACCAACCGTCTCAGCCAAAGAACAAGAAGATAACGGCCCCCTCTCTAACCCATGTTTGGTGCCCACCATGAAGGATGGAGAAACTGACATTGTTTGAAGCCCTAGGGTGATCTTCATTACAGCACCAAAAACGTGGCCTTGCTCCCCGATGCTAAGGATGCTAGGGTTGGTTCTGAGCCTTGAGGTGGCAGGGGGACACGCAGGGTTGATGGACCTGAGCGTCCATGCGCTGTCTCACTTGCCTGGGGCATCCTGGCTGTCCTGTTCCCTCCAGGGAGGCCTCACCTTGTCATCCAGTTCCCCCAGCAGCACCTTCATGGAGGAGATAAGCGACTCGTAGTCCCCCTTGGTCTGCAGCAGGAAACGCAACTCCATGAAATTTTTCTGGTTGATGTCCAGGTTCTTTGGAGACTTCACGAGGCTCAGAAGCAGGGTGGTCTCTGCCTGTTCGGCTTTCAGACTCTCTATCTCCTTGCTGAAGGAAGGCAGCTCTAGTTTAGCCCAGGAGCCCCTAAACCACCCTTCACAGAACCCACAGGGTGTCCCATCCCTAAAAGGAGCCTGGGAGAGGAGAGTTTCAGGGCAAGGGGCTCAGGTTCAGATCTGGAACCCCATGTCCCTGACTCCAGTCATCCCTGTCTCTCCTGCTCCACCTTCCTTAGGGGAAGGCTGACCTGCAGCCAGTCAAAATCCTTCACCGAAGCTGGGCGGTGGTGGCGCACGCCTTTAATCCCAGCACTTGGGAGGCAGAGGCAGGCGGATTTCTGAGTTCGAGGCCAGCCTGGTCTACAGAGTGAGTTCCAGGACAGCCAGGGCTACACAGAGAAACCTTGTCTCGAAAAACAAACAAACAAACAAACAAACAAATCCTTCACCGAGTGGCTTCGGGGAGATGGCTCAGGTGATAGTGTTTCCCGTGTAAGTCTGAGGTTCATCCCAACACCGATGCATACAGTGAGGTTTGGGATGGAGAGGAAGGAGGATCCCTAAGTTAGCTATCAACCCAGCCTCGACGTAGTCAGGGAGCTCCAGGCTAATGAGAGACGGTCTCAAAAGAAACCAAGATGGGGCTTGCAAAGTGGATCTGTGAGTGAAGGCGCTGGCAGCCAAGCCCAGCTACCTGAGTTTGAGCTCTGAAATCCACACACATGTAAGAAGGAGAGAACGGATTCCTGCAAGTTTGTCCTCTGACCCTCCATATAGGAGCCTTTATACATATACACAAGGACTAAATAAAAATGTTGTTTAAAAAATAAGGCGGATGGTTCCCAAGGAGCACCCAAAATTGATCTCTGACCTCCACATGCATGAACAAAACTTGGAGCAGGACTCTGAAGTTTGTATCAACATGGAGGTGAACAGTAACCTTGAACCCTTGGCCAAGGCCTCTCTCTGGGTCTAGCAATGTGTCAAACTGGCTGGGGGTGGGGTTAGGGGTGGGGGCTGGGCAGGGATGAGGAAATAGGGTGGAGGGAGGCTGGGAAGGCTGCTACATCCAAAAGATGGGAAACAGCACAGGGAGAGGCCCCTAGAGCTGTCTGGGTACCCGATGAGCACTTAGCATCTAAGAAGGTCTGGGATCTAAGACTCCAACTGGACCTCAGTAGGGGTACAGCCTGCTCTGCAACAAGAGCCTCGAGTGAGTTGTGCCTGTCCATCTGTTAGGAGCTCTGCTGCAGAAAGCTAAAGAATGTTCTAGAGGGCTGGAGAGATGAGCTGGCTCATTGGTTAAGAGCACCATCTGCTCTTCCAGAGATCATGAGTTCAATTCCCAGCAACCACATGGTGGCTCACAACCATCTGTAATGGGATCTGATGCCCTCCTCTGGTTTGTCAGTGACAGGATGCTCATATACATTAAATAAAGTAATCTTAAAAAAATATTAGCCGGGCAGTGGTGGCGCATGCCTTTAATCCCAGCACTTGGGAGGCAGAGGCAGGCAGATTTCTGAGTTCGAGGCCAGCCTGGTCTAACAGAGTGAGTTCCAGGCTTACACAGAGAAACCTTATCTCGAAAATCCAAAAAAAAAAAAAAAATGTTCTTGAATTGAATGCCAGTTCCTACAAAAAGCCTCAGGAAATATTTTAGACTTTGAGAGACCCTGTGGTTACTGAAGTAGGGCAGTCACTGCAGGCTCAGATGGGACTCCCATGGTTGTGCCAATAAAACTTTATTTAAAAAGTAAAAAGAAGCAGAAGCCAATGGGCCATGGTCCAGGAATAAAACTGTCCAATGGGACAATAATAATGAGGATGCCCTGTCCCTGCACTGTCTGGCACACCCACTTAGTCTCACAAAGATAGGGAACCCCTAAGCCATTCCTGGTGTGCTTCAAGAACCAAACACTTCATTGTTTTGGGTTGTTTGTTTGTTTATTTGTTTACTACCATTTTAGATGCTGTGTGTGGCTAATGAACCTAGCTTCTGCCCCCTCGACTCCCACCTGGACGGGGAAAAAGAGCTTACCAGGAGAGCGGGTCACAGAGGAGAGTGGTTACTCTGTTAGAGAGCAGCTGGCCTGTAGCCAGGGCCGGGGCTGGGGGAGCCAGTGCCCTGAAGTGTAAGAAAGAACTTCACAGAGCACGTCCGTGTTTTCCGTTTAAATTTTACCCTGAGATACAGGCTCACTCTGTGGCCCTGGCTAGCCCAGAATGCTGTATGTAGAGCAGACTGCCTTCAAATTCAGGGATCCAGCTCTCCGGGGTGTTGGGATTAAAGGTGTATGTATGCCACCACGCACAGCAATGTATTTAGTCTGTTCCTTTATTTATATGGGAGTAGGCATGGGGGGTGCCTGTAGAGGCCAGAAGAGTGACAGAATCCTTGAGTTGGAGTTATAGGTGGCAGTGAGACAGATGTGGGTCCTGAGAACCGAATTCAGGTCCTCTGCAAAAGCAGCAAGTGATCTTTACTGCTGGGTCACCTGTCCAGCGTCCACTTTCGTTTGTCAGCGTATATTCATTTATACATGAACATATGAACGTATGTATGGGTGTTAGCATGCCATTCTGTGCATATGGAGATCAGGAAGCAACATGGAAGCCATATTTCTCCCTCTAGCCTTGGGGGGGGGGGTCCTCTGGGACCTAACTCAGGCCATCAGACTAGCTGAATCATCTTACCAGCCCAAGATACTTTGTCTTGTTCTACCTGATGAGCGCTTTCCCAACAGATGGCGCTAAAGTGCTCTGAAAAAAATGCCTTTTAAAAATCGACAGGGTAAGGACCAGCCTAGCCCGGAGGAGATGAACCCATGGGAAAGGAAAGATCCCCTTCGTGCCCTTCTCTGATCTTCAACCATCCTGACAGTGAGGTTCTCTTTGATGGAGGCTGGCTTCTGCTTTTGCAGAAAGGGGCTTACACACACACACACACACACACACACACACACACACACACACAAGCGCGCATGCACACCCCCTTGCAAAAGCCTGGGCGCTGCCGCAGCATGGGAACATTCCCTGCCCCTCTGGGATCCTTTGGCTCCGCCCCGTCACTGCTACAGCTGGTCGGACTGGCAGGAGTGGACACCTCAGCCGACCAGGTTCCGCTTGTGCTGGAATTGGGATTGATGGGTGAGGGTGTTGTCTGCAAGGACCGCAGGGCGAGAGGGGCATCCGAGAGAAAAACGGGGCTTGGTTGAGGGCCACCTGTGCCCCCGAGGGCCCCAAGACCCCTGGATCCTGCTCACTGGATATCCTCCGGTGAAGCTCTAGAGCACAGGATAAAAGGCCTCCAGTCCCAAGGTGGGTTCAGTGTGCCTCCGGCCCCAGCTATACCCTAGACCCGCACCAGGACTCCCCTCTTACTACTGGTTGGCGATCATACGCTGGTTGCGGAAGTTGAAGGACTTTCGGCTCTCTACCATCTTGCGGAACTGCTGCCTCAGTTTCCGTAGCTCTGCCTCGGCCAGCTGCTCTTTGGCCTTCTCGGAAAGTTCTGGAAGACCTAAAGAGCCCTTCCTCCTGAGTTTCTTCATCTGGACAAGACAGAGAAAGAGGCGGCCCAGGTGATCAGAAAAGCCTCCAGGTGGTGCCCGGGACAAGGAGAAGCCCACCCTAGGGTGATGTCATCAGCTGGTCTGAGGTAGGGTAGACCCACCCTCGGCTGCCAGGTGACAGTTAAACTGGATATAGTAGCCTCTTGCTGAGTTGAGAAGTCTACAGAGTCCCGAGTTTAAGTCCTACACCACTGTGAGACTTTGAGAAAGTCAGCGACTATCTCAGGCCTCCAGTCTGTAAAGATGATGCCAGAGATGGGGTTTGGGGGTAGGATGGTTGGTATGTGAAGGGACACTGAGTGAGCAGCTGTTGTCACCAACCAGTGGCATTGAGATGGATCTGAGCTTCCCTTCTGCTTAGACAGTGGGTCCTGGAGGTCAAAGCCAGCAAGCCCACCTCTTTCGGGTTCTCTCTGTGTCTCCTCTGTCTGCAATGTCCTGCCCAGAGAGAAAGAGGAAAAAGGAAGTGGGCCACCCTGCAGGCAGTGAGAACCCATGGGCCTCTCCTCCCTCTCACAGTCCCCTCTTCCACCCACAGCTTGGCATACAAGGGGACAAGGCAGATGGCACTGGCTGTGACGAGGGCCCCTCCCCCAGATCCAATCATTCCGGAACTTCTTCCTCTCCTGGTTTATTATTAGGACCTGGGCAGATGGCTCCACCCTGCTACCCTTCCCCTCACATCTCTAAAGGAAAGGGGCACAGAGGCCTCCGATGATCAACCTGATGGAGCTGTTTTGGTGTTTGATTTTGTGACAGGGTCTCCTGTAGCTTAGGCTGGCCTCAAACTCAGTATGTAGCCAAGGATGACCTTGATCTCTTGCTCCTCCTGCCTCCACCTCCAAAGTGCTGGGATCAGAGGCATGTGCTACCATACTGGGTGCTTCATGCATGCTGTGCCACTGCTATCCACTGGGTATCCACTGATACATACCTATACCTATCTAACACACACACACAGTACAGTTGAAATCCCGCCTAAGTTGTGACTCCCCCCAAACCTCCCACTTCTGGGATCAGGAACCAGCAACCCAGAGGGACATTTTATCATGTCAGAACTTGCCCAGGGCACTTAGGTGAGGGGACATGACCTGACAAGCCCCAAAGGGTTGTGAGGCCCTCTGTGTCCCAGAAATTGGGAGGTCCTATATAGAATCCCAGATTCTCCATTCAGACTCTTCCCCAGCCTCTAATGGACCTCAGGTGCCTCTGTGCTGCTCTCAGGAACCTCAGTTTCCAGTCTGGAAAGTGGAGAGGGCGAGGCGTTCACCTAATCTGCATAATCCCCGCCCACTACCATGCTCCCGTAATCCCTGTTGTACACTGGAGAGAATTTAGCAACTGAATTTTAACCTGGGGAATCTAAGGTCAAGGGTGCTACGGCCAATTCCATGGTGCCCCAAGAATCAAGCTAGCATGAAGAGATAAGCCATAAACACGAAAACCTCAGGGCTTAGCCAGACCCGAAGATACCTCTGGGTCACTTCCAATCACACCGAACAGGAAGGACCTTTCATGAGACACTTTGAAATGGATTCTCTGGGGGCTTGTAAACCATGGAAGTGAATGTGTAAATGTGTAAATCGATTTGGCATACAAACAAGCGCCTACTGTGTGCTTAGTATTGTGGAGAACTGGGTGCTGGGGAGCCACCCTCACGACAGCTACAAATGGCAGCCCAAGGTCAAAGAGTGGGAAGGGCTCCAGTGAGATGTGTTGGTGTTCTCATTCATCTTTTGAGTTCTCAAGAATGAATAGAAACTCACCAAGCTGAGCCGAATAAGAGGGGAGAGGGTGGGTGGGTTAAGTGGATTACCCTGGGCAGAGAGAACGCCTGGAGTGGAGGCTCAGAAGCAAGGAAAATGTAGCCAGCCCCAGGGCGGGCCCCCTAGCTTGTGTGAGCTGATGCTTTGAAAATGTCCTGGGGATTGAAGTTTGGTAAAATCAAATTGAAGAGGAAATAATGCTAGAATATTCTTACGGTGACTGGAGAGGTCATGACCATAGACCGTGTCTTGATGGTTTCTGGGGCCTTCTGGGTAGGGAGAAATCAGTTCTCTCAATCACAGCTTGAATGAATGACCTTCCTTGAAAACCTCCCAGTTCGTTAGGCCCTGCCATCTTCCCCAGCTCCCGTGTAACAGCCGAAGCAGGGAGCCCACTCTTCCTTCCTGCTTCTAAATGACAACATGGGTTCTGCAGGGATCCCGAGTGAGTGACAGTTTTAAAAAGAAAAATGAGGTTGGGCCTGGTGGTACTGGCCTGACACCCGCACCCACTAGGAGGCGGAAACGGGAAGACCATGAGGTCAGATCAACTTTGGCTGTAGCGCGACTTCAAGGCCAACCCGTGATGTATGCTACCCTGTCTCAAATAAGCGAATGGATAAGTGATAAATAAATACGCGGACGCTTGGATTCGGGGAGCATTTACGGTGGCAGTGACTGGTTCCTGCCTTGCGGCAGCTCCCATCCCAGCAGGGGGCGCTGTGTGTACCCTAACTTACCACCCTCGGCTCCCGCGGCTCCCCGTAGTGTCTAAGCGGCAGGCAGCTCCGCACCCCGCGTTCTCCGCCCTGGAACCCGCGCCTTTGTGACAGCGGTGACTCGCGTTCTCTAAGGACAGCCGAGACCACCGGACCCACGGAGAACCCGCAGTTTACCAGAGGGGACAGGGCAACGCACTCCTGGGCTACCCTCTGCTGCCCTGTCAAACCTTAGCCACGCTAAAGGGTCACCCTGGTCACCATCCTCTCCCTCTCTGGGCTACTCTCTGTTTCCTCTTGCTTCTCTATTAAATACCTCCTTTCCGTAACACAGAGACCTAAGGTGACTTGTTTTCAGAGTTTGTCTGGAGATTAAACCTAGGGCTTCACGCACGCTAGGCAAAGACTCTTCCCAGTCTGCCCTTCATCATCTGGAAGCTTCCCTCGCATCACTGCTGTTGAGGCTGCTTGATTCATGGCTCTCTACTGCCAGCCATTGGGTGGGCAGTGGTTAGAAACATGCCTCCCTGGCGAAGGTTTACCCTCGCGGTCTTCCTGGGTGCGGAACTCAGCCCTCTTGCCAAGAAGAACGAGCCCCCGCCCGCTCCCAGTGTAGCCTAGAGCAAACAAAGCTGCCAGCGGTAAACAAAAAAACGAGCTGGGGAAATGCTGGAGCCTCTGGAGCAACCTCCACCCCCACCCTCCGCGACCCCTCCACCTCTGGCTCTGAGGATCAGAGGCACACTCAAACAAATGCAAACGAATCTTCTTTAGCCGATTCTAGTTTACCCAGCTAACCAGTCAGCTTCTACAAACACTGAGCTGCTGGCACTCATACGCACAGCGGGACAGTCTCCACCGTGGTCAGATTGCCTAATCAGCCCACCCTTGCCAATCAGTGCTTGGCACTAGGAACGGAAGAGGCTAACTGGTCCCAGGTGGTGGATCTATGCCTTTAATCCCAGCATTCAGGAAACAGAGACAGGTGGATCTCTTGAGTTCAAGGCCAGCCTGCTCTACAGAGTGAGTTCCAGGACATCCACAGCTACACAGAGAAACCATGTCTGAAGGTGGGGGTAACAGGTACATTATCATTTCCTGGAGTCTGCCACAGGGATGGGCTTATAATTACTGACAGTGGTCTCAAAGGAGCTTTCCACAGCCCAAGGTTAGAGAAGAAGAAGGTGCTTTGCTATCTCTGAAAAGGGAAAGGAAAGTACGCTGCTTCCGTTGGTCGCTGGCAGCCCTCTTACACGTAAGCATGAGCCAGCCTGGTTAAAGATGATCAACAGTATTGGCTAGCTTCTCGGATATTGACTGAGGCTGCAGGTTAAGTATAAGGAACCCTCCCAGATCATCAGCCCCTTGTAAAACCAGGAGCTGCAACTTCAGAGCTTTTATCAAAAAAGCCAAAACAATGGGCTCTCAGTCACAGTTCTGTCCCACGGTGGAGACGGCTCAGAACTGCCTGCGTCTGTTAATTAAGAGTCATTAATAGGTAACTGTCTAAATTCTACAAAACCCTTTCCTAGCAACAGGCTTAGTGATAACACAGGCTAGGATTATCCCCCCTCCCCTCTGAGGGGCTGGAGAGATGGCTCAGCAGTTAAGAGCACCGACAGCTCTTCCAGAGGTCCTGAGTTCAATTCCCAGAAACTGCATGGTGGCTCACAACCATCTGTAATGAGATCCGATGCTCTCTTCTGGTGTGTAACAGTGGATGCAGAGTGGCCGGTCAGTTATCTGAACAGAATGCCAACCTGGTAGGTTCTGGGGACTTTAGGAATTGTGCAGAGCCTGTCTGAAGTGTAGGTGGGTGCTTTGATCACTCCCTCCCCCATCTGCTTGCGCCCCTGGGGGATGTTCTCCACTTTGCTCTGTGATGTACCTGCCTCTCTTCCACACTACAGTTTGAATTCTTTCAAATGAGTTCACAAGAACTGGGGTCAAACTTGGGAGGCAGAGGCAGGCGGATTTCTGAGTTCGAGGCAAGCCTGGTCTACCGAGTGAGTTCCAGGACAGTCAGGACTACACAGAGAAACCCTATCTCAAAAAAGAAGAAGAAGGAGAAGGAGAAGGAGAAGGAGAAGGAGAAGGAGAAGGAGAAGGAGAAGGAGAAGGAGAAGGAGAAGGAGAAGGAGAAGGAGAAGAAGAAGAAGAAGAAGAAGAAGAAGAAGAAGAAGAAGAAGAAGAAGAAGAAGAAGAAGAAGAAGAAGGAAAGAAAACAGAACTGGGGTCAAGCCAAGAGGAGCTCAGCCTTGGATCTCAGCACTAATGCTCAGTGAGGGAAGAGCAGTACAGAGGCCATGTCCATCCAGGCTCCTCCCCCTGTCATTTGTGGCACTTGGTGTTCTCAATCAGCTCTCATTCTGATTGGACAAGAAAAGAAGGCTTGGCCCAGTTTTGTCCAGTTAGATCTTCCTGGCCAGAAACTTGACTCTGGGCATGAACCCCACTGCAGGGCAGCAAAGGACTGATGGATTAGTTGTCAGTG